TTGCTTCAAGTATATACGGGATTCATTCGTCCTAACTACTGCTCTCATATGTGGGGTGGCTCTTCTTCTGTCCAACTGTTAGATAGGGTGGAATCAAAGGCATTTCATCTTATTAACTCTCCTTCTTTTGTTGACAATCTTTCTTACCTTTCTCTTCACCACAATGTTACTTCATTCTCTCTTTTACAGGTACAGTACCTGTACTTTAACGGGCATTGTTTGGTGGATCTGGCATTCTGTGTACCGCCTGCAAGGCTGTGGGCTCGTAGCACACGTCTTGCCCGTGGTGCCCACCATTTCTCTGTGGATGTTGGTCACACTAGAATAACCCATTATAGTGCATCCTTCTTTCCTCACACAGCCAAACTGTGGAATGGTCTGCCTTCTTCTATGTTTCCGTACTCATACAATCCGCCTCACTTTAAAAAGCTGGTTTTCTGGCATCTTTGCGCTGTAGATTAACATTACCCTTTTCTTTTCTATTATTAATTTCTTTCTATTCTTATTTTTTTGCCCCCTAGGCCCCATTGTGAGTCGTTAACCTGTGCCTAGGTGGGCTAATCCTCGTTAAAAAAAAAGAAGGTAGTCGGTGCCTCAGTTATCATGTTTAAATTTTTGGTTGTGGAAACTGATGAAAAATATCTGTTCAGATTATTGCTCATTTCTCCTTTGTTATCAGTTAGTTTGCCGGTATCTGACTGTAATGGTCCAATCTTGTCTTGAGTTTTAGTTTGATACATTTTGAAAAATCCCTTAGGGTTTGACTTTGTCTCCCTTGCTACCTTCAGTTCATTATTCCTCTGGTTTTCTTATCTCGGTCTTAACACTACTGGCTAATACTTAAAAACAGTCTCATAGGTAAACTTCAGTATGATTTATTCTCCTACCTTATAGCTTTCCTTTCTCCAATAATATTCTTTAAATAATTATTTATGCTTTTGCAGTCATTGTTATTTGGTCTGAGTTTTCTGTATGGTATAATCTACCTTTGTGCATTAAGTAACTCATTATTTAGATTGTTATGAAGCTCGTCAACATTATTAATGAGATTTTCTCTGTTTGACAGATCTAAATCTAGTATATTATTACCCTGGGTGGGTTTGCCTATATGTTGACTTAAGAAACAGTACTGAATTGTTTCAAGAAAATCCTCTGATTCTGAGCTACCTGTAAATTGGTCTAATCTATTTGACAAAAGTTAAAGTCGCCTACTATACACACTTTGCTACATCTGGATGCTTGTGTATTTCATCCCAAATAAGTTGCTTCTTAACTCTCTTTAGATTAGGAAGTCTGTATACAGTATTACTCTTATAACTTATTTTTCCCTATCATCGGTTAAGTTTATAGAAATTGTTTCTGTATTCAGTTTAGTTTTTATTTCCTTATAGATTTCACACTTAAAATTATCCCTGACATAGATTGCTACCCTTCCTCCTTTCCCAATTTGCCAATTGGTATGAAATAATTTGTAACCTTTAATTTGGTATTTGACAGGTAACACTCGTGAGTCAGTTTATCCATGATTCGGTGAATGCTATTATATTGACTTTTTCGGTACATGCCAACTTCCTGATTTCATACATTTTATATATCTCATACTTCTACTTTTTATGTAGTAGACATTTAAGTGAGTCATTATCTGAGTCCTCTTTTTGTCGCATTTAGGTTTTAACTCTGCCTAATTTAGCTCTGTCATCATTCCTAGCATTATTTCTCTGTAACCTCTTGCTTTGTTTACCCATGCCCACCTCAGTCTTCTTGGCCCCTGTGCTCACATGTTCTTCCAACTGTTTAAAGATGTCGACATCTTTTGAACGGCCCTCTCGAGAGAGCCAGCCACATCCCTAGCATAAAGGTCCCTTCTGCCATAAAAGTTGTCCCAGTAGTCAATGATTGGGACTGATATTGACTTGCAACAACTGTCAAGATGGCTATTAACACCAATTGCTCTTAACAACCATTCATAGCCAACTCTCCTCCAAGGCAGGACACCACATATGATAGGGATCCCTCCCTTGATCTTAATATGCTCGATAGCTGCCTTGAATTTATCAGGAGCTCCTCACTCCTCCACCGGCCAATATCATTGCCTCCAGCGCTGAGGCAGATAATGGGTTTGTTCCTGTTACTAGACATGATATTGTCCATTATGACAACTTTATCTCAAACCCCAGCTCCTGGTAAACACACTGTCATCCTATTTTTTTTTTGGCACAGAAAGCTATCTAGGTACCTTACCTAGGAATCACCAACAATTAAGGTTTTCTTACCTTCCGTGACAGCCTTGTCCTTGACTATGTTACAGTCCAATTTGTCTACCATAGAACTGAAAAACTTAGTACACTTAGCTGTTGTCGTTTCCTTGTCTCTTTTCATCACCAGCTTGGTTGTTCCTCTCCTTATGACACCTCCACTCGCCTGTGTTGTTGTCGGACACAGACTCCCTCTTTCATGTTTTCCTCCTTCATCCTCACAATCACTTCCTTTAACTTCAAGTTTTTGCCCTTGACCTTCGCTAACTCAGCCCTCAAAAAGGCACAGAGCTACTCACAAGTAATATTAGCCATTGTACTGTCAGTTAATCCCTGGGAGCTAAATCAGGTGTGACCTTTCCTCTAGTGAGGTCAGCACACAAGTTGTTCAACAAATGATGGTTCAAAATAGTGGACTTACTATTCTAACTGTGTAATACGGACACATATCCCCAATAATGAATGATCATCGGAGAAAGTAACTATTCGAATCAATGCTGTAACTGGCTACCCTTTCCAAGGTTCCACAAGCCTGCCAACTATTAACATGGTACTACACAGGTGCATGCGTCAGATGGCTCAACTTTTCGGCGTTGTATTCGCCAAAATTTGGGAAGATAGTTGTTTCTTAAAGCTATACACTTGCCCAGAATCTCATGCGAGTCCTGGTAACATGTTCACTACTATTGAAATTTTTTATGGCCCTGTGTACAACAACATAGGGGAAATGCTTTTGCCATCTTAACAAAATAATTTCAGAAACAAAATTGTATAAACTGCTAAAATGTTCAGTGAGGCAAATATTTCACTATACAGGTATAACTCATGACTCCTTTGATTTTATGTGTTGGTCACATAGTGTTTACTATATGGTGTGTGGGGTGACGCTCACTCACCTTTCATCTCGTACAATACCTTACTGCAGGTGGATGAGAACAGTAGGGTCAGTATGCTACAGAGCCATGCCTACCAACCCTCCTGGGACGTCATGAGTTGCTTCTAGCATTTCGGAAATCATCGGACCTATCCTGGCAGATACTTTTTTGAGATACTGTTCAGTACAAAGATTGGGTTCTTCTACACACAAACCATCCTCTGGGCAACGTGACATGTTCAACTGCTTAGCCTGGTAATCACTGGGGACGGGCACAACCTCCCACACAACCCTTGTGGTTCGCTTGTGTTACGTCATTTTGAGATTGCATCATCATATCTCGGAATATTGCTTGTTGTTGCACATCAGTTTTTCAAACCAATGACAGTGCAGGAAAAGCATTCAGGTAGCAACCATCATAAAACCGATTTAGCACAGTTGCATAGCCGTAAATGGTGTTAATTTTATAACATCATAAAACTGAATGATTGTATATTGATCCATCGTATAATGGTCATTGACTGTAAAGATATGCTCATTAATTCATTGGTTATTACTGCTCCATGTGAGATTTTTTTAACACCCTATTTGTATGTATGAATGAATATATGTATGTATGTATGTATGTATGTGTATGTATGTATGTATGTATGTATGTATGTATGTATGTATGTATGTATGTTAGTGATGTCACGGTTGTCAGATTTCAAAGTTCTGCAGTTGCGGTTGTGGTATTCAGGAAGTCACAACTGCACAGTTGCGGAGGTTTGGTTTAACTTTAAACTTCAGTTAATGCTGTAACCTGTGTGAACTTTTCAACTAATCTTCCTGTGATTTTTCCCTGTGAAAAAGCCACAATTTTAGCAACATACTACTACACTTTAGTGTACAACTTGTACTCAAATGCACTAAGCTAAAGGACTAAAAATTTTATCTCTAGTGCAATTTATAAGATTTTTATCTGCAAATTAATTGCTGTCTTGCAAGGATTCCAACAATGTAAGTTATATTCTGCTACGTCAAGTCTGTGACATTTTATAAGAGAAAAACTTTAAGCCTTAACCAAATTCATCCTGTAAAATCCTGTTCACTGCCATCCCATCTCCCCTGCTGGCTGGGAGGAGGGGGGAGAGGGTGGTGGGGTGTTCACAGCCGACGAGGGGAGGTTGGTTGTCAGTGGAGGGGGAGGGGTGGTTCAGGTCAGGGACTCGGGATTATACAAGACAGGGAATTAAAGTTTTCTCTTATAAAATATTACTGCCTTGTCTTAGCAGAATATAACTTACATTGCTGGAATCCTTACAAGATAGCAATTAATTTGAGTATAAAAATACCATAGTTTGCACAAGACATAAAATTTTCAGTAATTTACTCACTACATTTGAGTACAAGTTTTACATTAAAGTAGTCATGTTTTGCCCCCAAATTATAACTTTTTTAATGGGGAAACAACAAGAGGTTTATGCTCATCAGATTGTCCATGTGTGAAAAGGGTCACAAATGGTGACCTGTAATTAAGCAAGTTACTCAAGATTTATCACTGCAAAGATCTAAAAACATTGTGCACTGTATCTATTATTGTAGCATATTGTACATAAAGCCAACATAGTGGTTGGAGGGCCCCACTGCCCAATGAATTTCTCGGCTCTCAGTCCTCGTTTGTGATTGTTTCACAACCTCAACAACTACATGGGTTCATGCGGTAGTTTCGGTTGTGGCGGTCGTGATAATTTATGCAGTTGTGAAGCTTCGTGACATCATTAATATATGTATGTATGTATAAAATTTAAAAATTCTTGCTCATGCTTGTAAATAGTAGATTTTTGGCTAAATGTGTAAGTTGTTATTTATGATAGTGTCTATGTCCATAGGTCCAATACCAGGTCTTGTGCAGGGTGTGTTGGTTTATGATTGTGACGAAGCACTAGTTTGTGATAAACACCTCGTCACTGCAACCACTCCCACAACAAAAAATGCTACTCCTGCCACCATATTCCTTCCACACACACAGTGCAGGAAGAGGTTACCTGTTCAGGAATTGCAAAACTCTTCCTCCAATTTACTTTTCAAGTTTGATGAATCCTGCAATACAATTAAGACTCAACCTCTAGACACTACCACCAGTGAAGATGTTTTTGGTGCAGGTGGTGGACAGTTACCTGGTGGTGGGGCTCGGCCGAGAGTGACACAGAAGCAGAGATGCATCACAGAACTGCCGCCTGAGTGGTTTACCTCATATATGACCAAGGTAAGAATATACAACTACATAGATGAGAAAAGTATCTGGACAGATATTGAGAAAGATTTGTGTCATAGTACAATAAACTCCTAGATATTTGCAGGGTTATGTTCCTGGAGTGCAGCAGATGAGTGGATACAGCATTCACCTCCTTTCTTAGAGGCTGTGGTTTGGTCCTTGGGTACTCCCAACTCACTCAGCTTTAAATAGGTACCTAACTTTACAGGTTAGGAAGTGAAAGCAGTTGAGTGAAGTGCTAGCCATGCTGCCTCCTTTAGTACCAGAGACTTCTACTGTACTGTATATAGTGTGCTATATTCACACTGTTCCTAATAGGCAGACATGCCCCTTGGGTATACATATCTATATATTTGGATTAGTGTAGCTTATGGGGAATAATAGGTTAAGGGGATTGTCCGGCTGGAATCCCCTTCCGTTTTGGGATGGATTTATATGCAATTTTAACACGTTAATTAGGATCATCCAACAGTGTTTCCATTATAATTTCAATAAATATGGACAATAACTTTTTAATATTATTGTTATTTTTATTATTTTTTATAATTGAAATACTATAGCAAACACTTTTGATGGCAATTATTTGTGTTTTTAATTATATTAAGAGCATGGACTGATAAGACTGTACTTCAATTACTAGAATTAAACAATTGTACTCATTTGACGATGAGAAAAAATATAATCCATAAAAATATACCCCAATTTTTTAGCATTTCTATTTGTAATTGGGTACTGTACTGTGTAGTACAGTAAACCCTTGATAACTCGGCACATATGGGGCTCTGGCCTTGCCGAGTTATCCCACATTCCAACTTATCGAGGCATTTCTCCCCTTTTATAAAAATACAACAATAAAAAATTATCGACCCATATATGTGTACAGTGGTCCCTCAGTTAACGAGCGCCTCGGTTAACGATTTACCTTCCATAAGATTCTTAACTTCGGTTAACGAGCAATCCCTCGATTAACGAGTTTTTACGAGCCGACTTCAACATGTTTTCGCTTGCATTTGGCGGTCCACCACCTGTAGTATTAGTCCGCCAATACAGTAATCGGTTTTAGGGCTTAAATTCCTTACTATTTTAGTAAATATCAAGAAGTTTATACTATTCAATAATTTTAAAAGTTTAATATTAACTTTTTTAGTCATTTTGACAATTATTGAACATAATTGAAGGTAAAGAAACTAGTTTCTGGCGTACCATCCAGCCTGTTAACACACCAGACAGGCGTTAGTCTCTCTCTGTTTTCAGTGGAGGTAACATCTTGCTTGAGACTCTTCAACTAAATGCTTTTTTTTCTGTGTTTCCAAGCAAATTATTGGTCATTTTGAAATATATTTTACATATTGACAATATATAATGCAGTGCAGTGTTGATTTAAAGAAAATAATCTTGAAATACACCAAGAGAACTAAAATTTTATCGGTGAAATGGTGCCATGGGGTGATTTCTCTTCCACCCCAATGCCTTCTCTTCTTCCTTCTCCTCCACCCCCATTCTAATTCCCATCATCATCATCATCCAGGAGCCTCCTACATACACACCTCAAAGTAAGTGTACTTTTCTTCCTTTTTTGTTGAATTTAGGCAATTTTCGGTGAGCTGGAACCAATTACCCAAAAACCCATTGAAACAATGATTTCGGTTAACGAGTTTTTCGGTTAACGAACAACCTGCTGAAACGGATTGCGCTCGTTAACCGAGGGACCACTGTACATGCAATTACTAAATGTAAAAAAGTAACACTTACCAGCACTGCAGGAGAAGAATGGTAGGTGATGCAGGTGGCCAGATATGCCAAGATTTTCCCAGATAATTTTATATAACTCGACATTTCCCGAGTTATATACAGTGGTCCCTCGGTTAATGAGAACAATCCGTTCCAGCAGGTTGCTCGTTAACCGAAAATCTCGTTAACCGAAACCATTGTTTCAATGGGTTTTTGGGTAATTGGTTCCAGCTCACCGAAAATTGCCTAAATTCAACAAAAATTTTAGAAATGGACACTTACCTTGAGGTGTGTATGTAGAAGGCTCCTGGATGATGATGCTAATGTGAATTTGAAGTGGGAGGTGGAGGAGGAGAAGGGAGAAGAGAAGGAAGTGGAGGTGGAGGAGAAGCATTTTACTGCTTCTTGGAAGGTGAGTCACCTTCCATGAAAATGTCAGGAACCTCTGGACTGACAGATTCTCCACCATGAACATCCTCTCTCCTTCTTAGAAGTGGAAGGCTGAGGGCTAGCATCATCCTTTCTCCTTCTTGAAGTGGAAGGCAGAGGGATAGCATCTTGTTCCCTCTGCCTTTTACTGAAGAAAGTGTCAATTGTGGTCTGTGGGGCATCTGTCCTCCTCACCATTAACTCATGTTTAAAGAAGGAGACCATTGAGTCCTCAACATGACACAAAGTTAGTTCAGTTTTTTCCACATCTGGGTGCTTTGAAGCCAGTTCCCTGAACTTCTCCCAGTGGTAAATCACATCTTTCAACTCTTTAGTTGACATATGGTCATCACTTTCAATTTCCTCCTCAACACTGTCAGCCTCTAACATCTCATCCAGTTGCTTCAAGTCATCAGGAGTAAGTTCCTCCTCATGAGACATCATAAGCTCTTCGACATCATCCTCTTCCACTTCAAGGCCCAATGACTGACCAATGGACACAATCTCTTGGTCCAACTCTGTTTCTTCCTCAAATCCCTCAAAATCATGGACTACTGATGGCCACAGTGCTTTCCATGAAGAATTGAGGGATCTAGTGGAGAATTCTTGCCATGATGACACAATCAATTTTACAGCCTCCACGATGTTGAATTGTGTCTTCCAGAACTGTTTCAGTGTTAGCTCAGGATCATTGGAAGTTGCCTGATGACACCTCCTAAACATTTTCTTCATGTACAGCTTCTTGAAGTTGCTGATCACATTCTGGTCCTTTGGCTGTGTGATTGATGTAGTGTTGGGAGGCAAAAACAACACTTTCACAAAGTCAAATTGAGATGCCAAAGTTCTGGCAAGGTCAGGGTCATAACCAGGAGCATTATCCATGAAGAGAAGAGCCTTTAAAGGGAGTTTATTGGTGGTTAGGTAGTTCTTGACAGAAGGGCAAAACACATAAACAGCCCATTTATTAAAGAGCTGTCTTGTCACCCATGCCTTACGGTTGGACTTCCAATAAACTCCAAGCTTTGTTCTTACCACTTTTTCTTGCATTTTCTTGAACAGCCCAGTTTCGTCCACAGTGAACACTTGCTGTGGAAGATAATTTTCTTCTTCCATCAGTTCTTTAAATTCCACTAGAAACTTTGCTGCCCCTGCCTTATCCACACTAGCAGCTTCACCATGCCTAACAACACTGAAAATGTCACTTCTTTTTTTAAATTTTTCGAACCAGCCTTTGCTGGCCCAAGAATCTTCAAATTCTGTGCTTGAAGAACCAGGTTGATCTGTCTTTAAATGTTCGTAAATCTCCCTGGCTCTTTCACAAATGCATTCAGTAGAAACTGAATCACCTTTCATCTGTTTTTCCCTAATCCAGATGAGAAGTAACCTCTCAGTTTCTGCAATTAGGGTAGATTTGTCTCTCACTTTCACTTCTTTAAATATGTCCTTCTGTGCAAGAATTGTCAACACAGTTGATGTCGACATGCCATATTCTTTGCATAGTGCATTTGTTCTAATGCCTTGTTCATGTTTTCTTATAATTTCCTGCTTGGTTTGGATTGAAATCTCTTTTCTTGATCTCTAAGGCCCCATGCTCGAATCAAACAATGTCAACACGTGATCTTTTAGGTATAAACTTGCTGTAAATAAAGAATATTTTCTTTAAAATAACACTGCACTGTGCTATATATTGTTAATAAGTAAAATATATTTCAAAATGACCAATAATTTGTTTGGAAACACAGAAAAAAGCATTTAGTTGAAGAGAGTCTCAAGCAAGATTTTACCTCCACTGAAAACAGAGAGAGACTAACGCTTGTTTGCTGTGTTAAGAGGCTGGATGGCGCGCATAAAACTAGTCACTTTACCTTCAATTATGTTCAATAATTGTTAAAATGACTAGAAAATTTAATATTAAACTTTTAAAATTATTGAAGAGTATAAACTTCTTGATATTTACTAAAATAGTAAGGAATTTAAACCCTAGAACCGATTACTGTATTGGCAGACTAATACTACAGCTGGTTGACCGCCAAGCGGAAGCGAAAACTTGTTGAGGTCGGCTCGTAAGAAACTCGTTAACCGAGGGATTGCTCGTTAACCGAAGTTAAGAATCTTATGGGAGGTAACTCGTCAACCGAAATCTCGTTAACCGAGGCGCTCGTTAACCGAGGGATCACTGTACTATAATACATTCCAAGACCATATCCGTGCCGAGTTATATGAAATTCCGACTTACAGTGAGTTCTGCTATAACGTGTGTTTTGATAACTCGAATTGGCTCTAACGCGATTTATGAATCGAGGAACGATATTTGTATAACGCGAACGCTTGTTTGCTGTAACGCGATTTTTGCTTATTATTTCTCCAATTTTGTGGTATTAACTGTGAATATCGCATTCCTGGTGATGATCGTAAAAGAAAGGATATAACACTTGAAGAGAAGCTCGATGTTATCAACCTCAACATCAGCCTTCTCCCCCATCAAGTTTTATTCATATTTTTTCAAGGTTAAGTGTTACATTTACTGTATGATTTCATTATTAGATATGAATGTAACATTTATTTAGACTGTGCTATCATTTGTGTTAGGCTAACTACTAATTTTTTTTCGATTTCGAGTAATGTAGTAATTTGCACCTAACCCTATTTTCTCCATAAGCCCTGTTATTTCTACTACGCGATTTTCTATAACACAATATTTTACAAGAACACAACTATCGCGTTATAGCAGAACTGACTGTATCAAATGCCTAGTTATCGAGGGTTTACTGTTTAGTATTTTTCAGTGTTGCATACTCTTTCTGGTATTAAATATTTTCCTATCATTGGTG